GAGAGAGAGAGAGAGAGAGTACTGCGAGGCAGAATGACGGTTTCCTGTGATGTCATGACCTTTTATTGCACGCAAGTATAGACATAGGTTGGCTAGTGCGTGCCACCTGCCACTTCTTAAGTCCACGTTCACCATACATGTGCACGCAGTAGTCAACTCTAAAGTTACCTTCGTCATACACACTGCTTTGATGTACCTTTGTCTACATTGTTGTGTAAGATGACATAAAATTTATGCAACGCTGAAACACAACCTTGTCCGTGCGAAAAAAACAGTCTGACAACCGTGCTGTTCCATCTCGCACGATCGTGTCGGTCTGAAATACAGTCTCGCCGCTTTAAAAATCTACTGATATTTGAACTTCATCCTTACAAAATTACTATTGTCGTTCAAACGCTTCTCTCTYTCTCTCTCTCTCTCTCTCTCTCTCTCTCTCTCTCTCTCTCTCTCTCTCTCTCTCTGTAAAAGAAATACAAAAGTTGAACTGATGATGTACTATAAAATTGCGACTGCGCCCACCACAGATTATTCTCGGAATAATGTTCAGCCTTTGAAATTTTGGTTTTTTTTTTTTTCTCTAATTCCATGTACACTTCTAGACTATATATCTATTCAATAAAAAATTGTCCTCCCTCTCTTTTGCATGCTTCTTCGAGCCCCACTGTGGTTTAAAAAAACGAGGAACAATGTGAACGGTCTTGATGATGGTGTCAATCGTTATGACGCTACTGTGCTGATGACCGTTTACCTTCTCCCATTGCAACTTCTTACAACCTGTTGTGTGTTCTCTTTCGCTATCCACCTCTTTGTACCATTGCACAAAACAACACCTGTGCATCTCTGCAACATCCCCTGTGCAAGTGTTCATGACGAAAAACATGGCTACTGATGCATACCATATGTTGTCATTCCCACTCTCACTGCAACATCGCTGTGCACGGCTCTCCCGTGGAACTGTGGTGAAGCTCTTGTCGTTTGAACACCTGCACCCCTGTGCGTCCCGTCGTATGTGCAGGCGATAGTCAAGTGTGTTCGAGTGTGTATCACTTGGTCATCAGATGGAGGTTCACAGTCGTTCTCGCTCATGAACGTCGTGAGCGCAGCTCGAAAATCCTCTTTGCAGGGAAGCTCGTCAAGTATTCTCTATGCCGCATTGCTTATACCCTCCACCTCCGGCAAATGCACACCGTCCATCTGGAACCACCGGAGTTGTAGATTTGCTGTGTCGCGTGGTGCGAGGGTATTAATTTCGGTGGCCATGCAGTCTGTCATGGATGACCAATTTTCTGTCGACCTCTTTCTTCGTTTTCTCACAATCTTCATCTCATCCTGCAAAGCCAATGAGCGTCGGACATGATTCACCATGTGGGAAGCAGCCTTGCGCTTGTTCGATGCCAGATATGACTGTTTGCAGAACCTCTGCTGATGATGCTCCCACACATCAGCTGCGAAGGTGTCGGGGACACCGGATCGCTCTATGCATGTTCTCAGATGCATAAGGTCGTGCAACTTCAGAATTTTCCAATTCGAGGTTTGATATTTTCCCATCTTCGTTTTTATACTCGTTATGAAATCACCTATCAATGCGTCACATACATCGAGAGAAGTCGCAGTGTGGGTCGACTTACGAAACACGTGTATGTACATTTCCATGAGTTTGATGAAACAAGTGGAAATAGATTTGCCTGTCGCACCTGGGATGATATCACAAATAATAAACACGCAAACTGTCATAATGGACCGATTTTGCTTCGCTTCAAATCGTCATTCCCTTGAAAAGAAATCACAACCTGTGGCCACGGGCAACACGAGCTGCAGGTATGTCCTCACACATCTCTCACTGGTGCTCTGCAACCTCGCATCCATCTTGTGCAATATCTCGCTTTGCGCGATATCCGACAACTTATAAGCTGCTGCCTTGAATGCATCTATCATATGCAAGAAAATGCCGTGTTCAACAGTGTGCATACGGTCCGGTTGCAAAGCGAGATGGTAATCTAGTTGAGGATCGTCACCATGTGGACCCCTACAGAATCCCCAAAGACCGTTTTTTTGAACATGCTTATGCATGTTCAATTCTGACATTCGTGGCTCTGCGGCACAGCGAATATCGTTGTCCCCATTGTTGAAGAAGTTCGCAGCAAGTTGTGTGTCTGGCGTCTGCGATCTCCTGCAGTTGGCGAAATCGGCGATGACATCGAAATCGTCTTTGGACACTGTGCATGTTGGACAAACACCGAATTTTACAGTTGCAAGGGCACACCTTTCAGGATAGTCCTGTATATAGTTCATGACGAAAGGGTGGACTGTTATCTCGCCGAACTGCTCCGTTGTAACTATCATGCCGTCATAAGATGCCTCCTTTGCGGACCGCAATACTATTGACAACGCGTTATGCAATATCACAGCTTTCCGTTTTCTAAACGCAGTGGAGTGCAGACCCCAGCCCTTGTCACGTGGCCGGTGTTGAAACAAAGGAAGATACGCAAGGAGTGTGGCGTCCGATGCGCGATCGGCTATTGACATCATCAGAGGATACACTAACTGCTTTTGATGACCGTCTACATGAGTCTTGTCTGAATACAGAGACAGAGGGATGACATAACGTGTTTTACCATTCGTGTCCACACCCTTGTCCGCTCTGATAACAGTTTGGACATGGTGACTCAATTGGCCCGTGGGAGAGCAACATATGTTGATCCCCTCCCCGGGAGGTTCTATTTCGAGGCAAAAAAACGTTTCAATGTTGTGCAGTGCAGCACATACAAGGTCAGCGAACGTTGTGCACCAGTCGCGGTACCAAAAAATGGCGTGCGCTTCTTCAGGCCAATCATCAAAGCGTAGATTGTTCTCTTGCCACCCTGCAGCCTCTGTCTGGCGGCTTGCCCATGTCAGACACTCACGGCTGTTACGAAATGCGATATTTCTTGGGTCGAATCTAGGATTCTTGAAGAGTGACAACAGACAGGCAACGTCAGTTTGGGACATGCCCACACCGCCCCTACATGAGAAAATCAATGCCGCAAGTTTGCGGTGTTTGCGGGAGCTGTCGAATGCCTCTGTGTGTTGTTCTTGCTATTCTTCGGATGCACAGTCTGCTTCTACATCGGGAGGGGGCTCAACCTCCTCGCTTTCCCCACTGACCAGATTAATGGGACCACTATTTGACGGTCCACCGATAACCTCCCCAACTATCTCTTGTGCCGTGCTCACGTCTTCCACAGCGGATGGACATGCCCGCGCTCCTTGTGAGTTCATCGTCCGTAATGACATGAAAGGCCGCCCACAGTCACACACGTGACTCGCACCATCCATTGCAACTACGTGCGAGAAATACAAAGTGATGTCACATAAGACCTATCGCAGATGGAGCATGCGCGTTAGGTGTGAAATTCATGAGTTCCTTTCACGCTCCCGCCACCCCCGTCCCCCCTTTCCCTCCTGTCGACTCAACACCGCTGCTGTGTGCTGCTGACAGATTCCAAGACAACGACAACATTCCAAGCGGTATTAAAATAAAAAATTGTGGTGAATGTTTCGCCTTTTTTTTTTTTTTTTTTTTT